TCCCCTTAGTTCATCAGTAGGACTACCCTGCTCCCTGCCGTCCCTTTAGTTCATTTGTAGGACTACCCTGTTCCCTGCAACCCCCCCTAGTTCATCAGTAGSACAACYCYRTTCACCGKTACCAAACCCTGTTCCCTCTTACTCCCGCAGCCCATGCCACCCACATTATACCCCTCTTCCCTTTCGACTTGTTAACCAGTGATCGGCCCCGTCCCGTCCTTCACAGATTTCAGCATTGCTTCATGATTGTTGGCAGCCGGGACTTTGCCTTCTAGAGGGAGGGGATAGTGTTACGGACCACACCAGGGCCCGATCCCTGGTCCGCGGGACGCTACCCGCAGTTCACTGCACACATTTTCTTTTCTTTGTTTTCTTATTTTTATTTTTCTCTTTGTTTTATTTTTCCGATTTCGGACACTTGGCGCCATCCGGCATTCTGGCGCCCATTTTCAAACTTTCGATTTTCAGTTCAGCCCATCGGACTGAACAATTCTGCCCATCGGACTGAACTTGAGTCCGATACTTAAGATCGGACCCAAGTACGGCATTCAGTTTGCGGCCTCAGTGCTTGTGCTTCGGCGTGACGTGCCTTGACATTGTGTTCGGAAATCCAAGACTTCGACTTTGCGACTTTGCCACTTCGTGTCTGCGTCCGTCGAGTCGTGTCGAGTCTGCGTCGAGTTGAGTGAGCGTGTATGTGTGCTCTCACTCTCTCCCTCTCTCTCCCAGCCTCGTTGCCTTGCCTCTGCCTCAGCCTCGTCACAAATAGTCTCATGGGGGCCACAGAGGAGCAGTGCTCACTGCTAGAATTGTCACGAGTATCAGGTGCCACCGGCCTCTAGACAGGGTGAAGAGGCAGGGTTTTCACAGTCACCCCTCTGGGTGCTCTGAGTAAATGACAATTATGACATCACAACGTTCATCAACGTAACAAGTATAAGGGACGCTGGACCCGCTTTCCAGCAGGTGTTGCTCCCCACCATCGGATCAAAGCCATCATAACTGGATGCTAGCAGAGACTGCTCATATGAACCCTGCTAGCACTCCCGGAAGATGTTATGAAAAAAAAAAATGAAGCTGCAAGTTTGTTCCACCTACCGGCCCACCTAATACTACCACACCCGGTAGACCTGACTGTGTGACGTCTTGGGAGTCCAGGGTTACACAAAAGAGAGGCTTGGCAGTGCGTCAGCAAAATAGTTCGGGTGGGTAATGGTGGTTGATGAAATCAGCAGGGCAAAAAACCTAATTGTAGAGAGATATGTTCATGGAACCACTATAGAAATCATTTGGACTATTTTTCCTCATGTTGGGTTTCTTTTCTAGTTGGGGTAAGTACGCGAATGGGCAAAAAAAACACGGGTCGGCAATGGAAACCGTGCCGAGTTCAGAAAGGCAAGAAGTACCGACTGCCATGGTGTCAGACCAAGTGTCATATTTACAGGGGTCGGTCATGGTGTCAGAGGGCGGAAAAAAAAAAAAAGCCCAACGGATACTTTTGGACCGAAATCGCTCATTTCCAGTTGGCGTGGTTTCTCTGTCAGCGCAAGTTTTTTTTGCCTTTAGGGTTTCAAAACATACCGCGTCCGCCGTTATTTCTTTCTAGTTATTCTGATTGAATTACTCACATTGATGCTTCCGACGATGGAAAAGCCCAAGCCATTTGAATCTTGTGTCTATATCATCCTTCCCCTCCTTGGTAGCATCCAGTTCCTCAAAGTTGACATCTGCCACTTCATTAATCCTATTCTCCACGACAATCTCCATAGGATCCTTTGCAATCTTTAACTGTGGAGCAAAGAAAACGAACGCACAACAAGAAAACAAAACAACACACTTCTACACTGTTAGCAGAGAAAACATCATAATCACGTGCTAGGTTCACAGCATATCTTCTCTGAAAGTCTACAACAGGGGGTTATGATCACCCGTCCAGAACGGATAGCCTTTTAGCAGTACATACTCTAAGCAAGATACAACAAATAGATGACTGTGTCCAAGTCACATGTTTAGCTTGAAATGGGCAGAAAAAACACATACCTGCAATTTTGTCACTGCTCCAGTTTGAAATGGTAAAAAATGCTAAAAGAATAGCTGTAATTTTTTTTTTTCCCGTTTTTTTGAACTTCGGCCTTTGAATTTGGCGGGTGAGGGATCTGCAAATATGTGTTTTATTTACCCATTTTGAACATGGGTTGTGACTTCAACGTATGTGCCCCAAGAAAAAAGTGCGCTGCTGGCAGTTTGGTAAAGCTCGGCGTAGAAGGGAAGAAAGATGGTGTCGACAATCACGAACGTTGAATTAACATACCCAGAACACTGTGTTTCAGAAGAGAACTGATAGGGGCGACCGATCTGAGCCACAACTTCATGGATGTCCCACTCGCAGACATATGTCCTATCCTCGTTGTATGCGAAGGGGCGTGAGCAGAGGCGTTTGTGAAGTCGGGGCGCACAAGATCCCGCAAGGTCGATCCACATGGCCATCGGCCGCTAGTCGCACACGCATCCACCGTGCACAAAACAAATTAACTTAGTCCCATCGATTCGTGCGGTCGCCTGCATGAAGGAAATCAGGCAGTATGACGTGACTTTCATGTCGATGTTCCTTATAGAGGGGAGGATTACCCAGGAAGCTAATGGACGAGTTCAAGAAGTTCTTCAAAAATGCAGCCAGGTCATTTAAGGGGAGGAGGGAGAGAATTCAAAAGCAGCAGCGGGTTAGACAACATTCATGCGCCACGTCATCCAACGGATCGAAGACGGACAAATCATGTCGGCGTGCATCCACTGTTTAACATGAGCGGGCCTCAAGCCCGATTATCACCGCCTAACGTGATATAAGGGGAGAGGAGCACTCACATCTTCACAAAGGTGATGCCTCCATTCCTTGTGCAAACAGCGGCGTTTGAGGCGTAAAAGGAAAAACAGAAAATCACAAAGTGCTCATTTATTCATCCGAAATAGGAGCAGCTTGAGATTTCGACTCAGACAGATCAACTTGCATCTGCGTTTTTAAAAGGTACAAGCCCAACACAAAACTTACTGAAAGCAGCAAGGCATAGACATAAAACATACATGCATATACATTCATAAATAGACCAAACAACGATCATACACACAACAGTGAAAATACTTGTCCCCTTTGGACGATAATCAAATGTCAAAGCAAAAGAGCGAGATTCTCAGGCCGAAGAGATAGAAAACTCCGCTTGGGTTTATTGAAGCCACTGCCCATTCCTGCTGGTTCAGGAGAGAGTGTCTCCATAGACTTCATGGATACCTTGTGACCAGGAAGAGTGGCCTATTCGTTATAGTCGATAGGTTTACTAAATACACTTAAGACTAATCCCTATGCCGAAAACTGCGAAAACAGAGCACGTCATCAAGTTATTCATGGATAACTGGGTGCGTGACTTTGGACTGCCCAAAACCATTGTCAGTGACAGAGATGTCAGATTCACAAGTGAAATGTGGAAGAAGGCTGCTGAACAGATGGGCAGTCAATTCCAAATGACTTCGGGGAATCATCCCGAAGCGAATGTTCAAGTGGAGCAGATGAACCGTGTGGTCCAGCATCTGCTGAGGCATTACATCAAGCCCAGCCAAGATGACTGGGATGAGAAACTTCCTATCATCGCCAATCTGTAAAATAACGTTGTACACAACACAACTGGCGTCAGTCCCAACCAGGTGCATTTGGGGTGGAAGCCTAAATGCAATGACTTGCTGTTTGCTTCCGTCGGTGACCCGTCGACCCGAGGCTGTGACATAGGTAGGTTAGATTCCTTATTTTGTTTGGCTGAGGGCTAACCGAGAGACCTGCGTGTAGGGAAATTCGTGAGGGACATATCTGTAAATTCGGTGAAATATATAAAAGGGCCTTTACCCGATATAGGCCTCAGGCCTTGTAAAAGAAAAACAGCACGGGCCTTGTAAAAGTAAAGCATTGTGAAAAGGTATCTCGCCAGGGCTCAGAAACGTGAAAGCAGGTCAAAGGTCAAGTTCTCTGTCAACAGGCACATCTAAATCTAAGGCAAAGGGCATTGTCAAAAGACTTACCTGTTCACCAGGAGATGTGTATGTCACGTCTGTCCGGGTAAGAGTGTGTCTGTACGTGCAGGCAGTGTACCTGTTCGTGCAAGGGAAAGTGTCTGTTCAAGCAGTAACTGTGTCTGTTCGTTTAGAGTTGTGCCTGTCCAAAGGTAAAGTCAATAGGCACAGTCCCAGTTCTGGTATAAGTCAAGGGGTCAGTCCAGATCCAGACTTTGAAGTCCGAATCCAGGCCGAA